TTGCTCAGGCAGCAAACCTCACTTGGGCAAGGGGTAGATCCGGCGAGGTGCAACGCTCGAGCGAGAAATTTGACAAATAAAGTGAGGAGGTGCTTGGGTGAGAAGGTACAGATTTAGCCGGGCCGGCGAGAGTTGTCAGAGGAGCAGAGGTAGGGGCGAAGGTTGGCGGAAGAGGAGATGATGGATTATGCCATTAGTCGGAAATGATGAAGTTAGAGGCTTCCAGATAAAATACACAGAGGGTAATAATGGAAGATATAGATAAATGCCGATTAGAATGGCCATTCATCTTACCCCACAAAGGAATGATAATTCCTTTAAAATGAGCAAAAAGTCATTCCAATGAAATGATTATTCTGAGAATAAAACTTAACCAAACACACAACTTGCATTCTTTTCTTTTCCTTTCCTTTCCATTACCTCCAACCAAACACGTAGAAAGAAAGGAAGATTCTTGGATATAGTTCATTCAACTTTAGAATCAAACCTGCATTCAATTGGGCTTTTGTACGTGCGATAAATGGCAAAAGCCAGACCCAATATTTGACTCCCTAATATTGCTTCAGTTCTTTTTTTGTTTTTTTTTTGTAAATGACAAAAATAATAGCTGGTGAGGAACAACGTAGATAATACTTCATTGGATGAAATTGATAACTTAATTTTTAATAGGGATATGTTAGTGACAAATACAAATTACAATTAATTTACTACATTGTACTTGTTTTGGTTTGTCTTTCCCTTGCTCATTTTAGTCTCCCATCGACATTAGTTGTCTTTCCCTTTTCATTTCATTATTGCAATTATGGATCAATATGTATATGTCATATTAAATTAGGGTACCTAAAGGAGATGTACATCTTTTAATTAAGAAAAATAGTGAAAAAAGAAACTGCAGAGGGAATCTAAGATTTAACTTCGTCACTTAGTATAGTCCATGATTAACTTTACTTAGTTTATTACACTAATAGTACTAGAGATAATTACAATCATGAGTGACAAAATTTCATACCTTTAGTTCACACATTTAGCAAAATTTTTAGAATGTTATAAAAGTAGCAAACATGACATAGTAATTATCATAATGATGCAACATTTTATACTACATAATGATATGATCATTGTTTTAATGATATCAAAATCTTCTATTCTCATAATATTACTTTTTGAATTTTGTTGTATTTCAATTTTACTATTTAAATCTTTTGTTATCTATACATACTTAAAAGAGTTAAGGGGTTAGCTTCTAAAAAAGACCATGTGTTGGTCTCTATGGAGGCCACATGTTGACATTCACTTTCTTTTTCTAATTATTTTTTTGATTCCCTCTATTTTTCTTTCTCTTTTTTTCATTTTTAGACTTTTTTTATATTTTTTTTCTCTCTTTTTTTCTACCTGTTGCCTTTTTTCTTCCTCCACTATTGCCTACTTATTGCCTTTAGCAGTATTTTTTTTTTATTTCATTCACAAAGTATAATGAATTTTTGAATAGGAACGGACGAAACATAAGATGAAACATATAGAATGTTTCGTTTATCTATTTATAAAAAATATCTTATGTTTATAACCATGACTTATTGAAGACGTGCATTTTGATCCTTTTATTTTTTTGTTCATTTTAAATTTTGTGTTTTTTAATTGTGCTTTATTAAACTTTATCCTTTAATATGCTCTCATTTAAATAATTTTAAATATTGGCTTGCCTAAATATTGTTTTTGTTAATATTTTTTTTTCTAAATATATGCATCTAAAAAATATAACATGCGTGTACTGAATACTCACTCGCGTGTTTCAACAAGTATGTATAGAGAGCCGAACTCAGCCAAGAAGACAACTAGCCGTTTTGCTTTAAATCACGATCTCGGGATTTCTAGTAGCCTAGAAAAAAACCGAAAAACCAAACAAACAAATCAATAATTAACCTCTCTCGCTCATCCAAAATTGAAATAGATCGGACCTCAAAAAAAAAAAAAAAAAAAAAAAAAAAAGGAGAGAAGAAACTCGTATACTCATTAGAAAAATAAAAATCAGTATTTTGATAATAACCATAAAATCATTACATTCGGATGGCTCTAATTGCTAAGTATATAATAAAAATGATGTAATCAAATCTGATCGCTATGCCAAGAAAATGCTCTAGTATTTTCATATAAGGAGAATGAGAGGCGAAAGAGCATCAGTAAAGTTCAGCTAAAACAATTTTAAGTTGCTTTCATCTATGGCATCTTGTTGCATATCATTGTTAAATTATATAATGCCCTATTAATTGTTTATCATCTTTGAAGTCTCTTTCCACAAAATCAACTTATAGTCAAAAGTTAATACCGACAGTAAAAGAAATAAATAAACAATCCAAAAAAGCAAAAAAAAAAAAAGAATTACTAATTGTTAATTAGCACACTCTGACTTTGTTCATTTCACAGATTCGAGTTTTAAATTTAAATTGAGATGTAATTTTATGTGAGAGTTTTTCACTGTAAAAAAAAATTAAATGTGACTTTTGATAAAAAATTTTAACTGTAATAAAATTATAATTAAAAACTCAAATTGGTAAAATGAACTAGACCTCAGAAGTACTGGTTATCTTAGCCTTGAAAATTAGTGGAGTGAAATCCAGCTCGATCATGGCTTTAAGAAGAGACAAGCAGTCAGCCATTAAGCATTTTCAAACCCCACTAATTGTATAGATTATAATATTCAACAGATTAGGTGTTGACCAAGTCATAAGAGTGGACACACGATGACACGATCACATGGTGAGAAATTTTGAGATCTCCGTTCCCATGTATCTTAGATAGAAACCTGCCACCTTTTAGCAAAAGAGGGGGTAAAAGTAAAAATTAGGAGTACTCCCTGCAAACAATTTCATCAAAAAGTTTCAATATTTCCTTTTTTTCATTAATATTATAATACATAACATTGCTCTTATTTACCGGTACACCAGTCTCTAATTCTAACCACCTAACTTCTTTTTCTATTTTGCATCTCAATGTAATGCCGAATTGATATGTTAATGTTAAATATTAACATTTAAATGAAAATTTTTAATGTAATGCTATTTTCTATACCAAATTTATCAATGCTATATTTTAGGACAAATATTTTATCGGAATATATACCAAATATCAATTTTAACATATGATTCTTAATGGTTGATATATTAATTTTTTTTCAGTTAATAATTATTATAATATCATTCGTTTAAAATAATTTTAATATTAAAAAAATTTACTTTTACAAAACGTATACATGACATTTGAAATAATATGTATCAGAATACCAAATAGTACTACACATTAAATATGTTGTTTTCATATATTTTAATGGTAAATATAATATTGACATAATATTTATATTAGAAACGGTGTAAAGAAAAAATAGTTGTCGTCAAGCTAATTAGGGCAATAAGATCATATTAATTCCAATACGTAGATGTAGAGTAATTATTTTTGTGCCCATAAAATTCATGAATGTCCCCACCAAATCATAGTTTATGTGTATGACAATTTTACCTTACATTGAAATTTCATCCAAGCTCATTAGTACCCGCATATTAATTATCGATATAAATACTATTCTTTTAAAAAAAGAAGGAAAAAACATACACCCACATTAACATAATTAGAAAGTATAATATTTTAGTTTCCTAGAATTTCTCTCTCTCTTGTGTGTCAGTTTTTTATGATAATTGTTTGCTATTTTTCTCATAATTCAAACTCTTCTTGTAACACTGGGGAAAATTTTGCTAATGGATTATGCCAATACGTTCAACCTTTAATTATAAAGGAGCAATAACAACTATCTTCTGAGAAAAAAATTCAATGTTAATAAGTATATATAGGTTTGTAGCCATATATATATATTTTATAGAGGCATATAGAGCTGTATTTTTTTAATGCAATAAAGGTAAGAAGATTGATGAATAATAACTTAAGAAAAAGAGAGAGAATGATGGTACAATAATTTTAAAAAGGAAACATATATTTAATAGTATAAAGAATTAAATCAATATAAAATTAGAATGTGTATGGGTAGGTAAAATAAGTATTATAAAAATAGTATCTATAAAAAATATATTTTTTCTATATTTATTGAAGGAGTATTAATTACTGAGTGCCTATAAAATTTATGTGCGTAAATATAACTACTCACATTATATATATATATATATAAGATTATATCCTATACATCCATTTTAATGGGACGTGATTAATCGGTGACAGGCTGATAAAGTGTCAGACTGTTCAGGTAAGTTAAAACAGGCGATATCATTCTCTAATAGATTAGATAGTGGGGAGTTAAAATGGAACGTCGTTTTAGAATGTAATTTGAGTGTAATTTTTAAGTTGAATTTGAGTTATAATTTGAGTTGAAGTTGTAACTTGAATAAAGTTGAGTAAAGTTAAATAAAATTAAAACTTAAAAAAATATAAACTTAAATAAAATTGAAACTTAAATTGTATTTTTTGAGTTTTTTAGAAAAAAAACGTGTCCGACAAAAGACAGGCTCTAGAACCTTTGTTTTTTTTTGGTTTTTTTCCTTTTTTTTTTTTTTTGGGGGGCTAAAAGTACTACTATTGTGACATGCGTGAATGTTGCTCAAAAATTAATCCGACAAACCTCAGTTCACGCGTCACGATGTCAAGTTAGACGTCAATTACCCTGTCTCTACAGACCAATAAACAAGCAATCATTTTTCTATCACAAATAAATAACTAAATAAACATGTACTTAGAAACACCAATATTTTGTGTGAGTGGTTGCGTTGGCTGTAACGCTTCAAGAATTGTAGAAATATGGCCATATTGTGAACATATAATATTGAATTAACAATTGTAATTAATTTAAAACCAACCTATTTAGTGTTATTAATTTATTACCAAGCGAGCCTCCTTTAATCTTGCTTTTTCGTGAAAGTCTTCTTCTTCGACGGGGGTGGTCCAAGTGGTGGGTCAATGCCCCAAAGTAGGTATTTTGATAAGATATCGAATCCTGCTTAACACTGAACCATGGATTATTCTCACCAAAACAAATCCTTTCCTTTGCCAAAATAAACATTAACCAAACACAGCTACAACATGAACTATGCCAAAGCTCTCCTGAAATCACTTCTTCAAATCTTTATTCTCCACTATTGTTCTGCTTCAGACACTCTACGCTTTAACGAGTCAATCAAAGACGACGGTTCGGTCTTGGTCTCTGATGGAAATACTTTCGTTGTGGGCTTCTTCACCCCCGGAAAATCCAGCTCTAGATATCTCGGAATTTGGTTCAATTTCTCTAAAGAAAGAGTCATTTGGGTGGCCAACAGAGACAGTCCCATCAACGACACATCAGGAGTTCTCTCTTTCAATCCCCACGGAAACCTCGTACTGATCTCCGACAGCCGAAACATCTCACTCTGGTCGACCGATGTTTCGGCCTCGTCCGTTAGCAGCATTGCATTCGAAGCTAAAATCTTGGATTCTGGAAATTTCGCTTTGTTTTGGGATGGTGAGATCGTATGGGAGAGCTTTGATCACCCGACGAATTCTCTGCTGTCGGGGATGAAGGTGGGGCCCGACTTTAGGAAGGGACTGAACCGGGTTGTCCGGTCGTGGAAGTCACCGGACGACCCGGGGACGGGGAATTGCTCGTTGATCATGGAACCAAAAGGCTCTCCGCAGCTGATCCTTTACAAGGACCGTGCGAAATGGTGGCGAGCCGGGCACTGGAACGGCCAGCAATGGGGAGGCATCCCGGCTTTGAGCTCCTTACCCCGCGCCAACTTCTTCAACATCACTTTCACCGATAATTCGGATGAGATCACGGTGGTGTGGAGCGTTCTAGACCCTTCGATCTTGACCTACATAAACATCGACGAGTCTGGATTCCTCCGGCAGTTTGCCTGGCAGGGACGGGACTCAGGCAAGTGGTCAGAAATCTACACCGCACCGGGGGACAAGTGCGACCAGTACGCATATTGCGGGAAGTATGGGACGTGCGATCCGTACAACGTGAATGGGTTAGATTGCGGGTGCCTCCCGGGGTATGACCCCGTGTCGCCGCACGACTGGGCGCTTAGAGATTGGTACCGCGGATGCAGGAGGAGAGAAGGCGCCCCGAGCATGTGCCGGAATGCGGAAGGGTTCGTTAAGGTCGAGAACGTCAAGGTCCCCGATGCGTCGGCCACGGTGGTGGATCGGAGCTCGGGGTTGAAAGAGGGTAGGGAGGGGGGGATGAGGAACTGCGCCTG